CAAGACATGTTAAATAAAATAGTGAAATATATGATTACTTTTTGTGTAAAATAGGATGATAGATTCAGCAGATATTGTATTAGTCATTGTAGGCTAACTTCTATAAAAGCAGACTCAGACATAAAACATCTCAAAGGCTATTGATTACTAAGTTGCTGGAAAGGGTCAGAAAGTTTGTGGATGACAGGCATCCACCACTGTGCCCAACTGTTGGCTGAGATGGAATCTTGCTAACTTTTTGCCCAGGGTGGCTTAGATTCTTCTGATTTCAGCCTCCCAAGTAGGTAAGATTACAGCACCTGGTTTCTTTACAGAAGTTTTAAAGAAAATAAATTAAAATTCTGATTTAAAAAAAAAAAAGAAAGTTTGTGGACAAGTCTTGGAAGTCGTACATATCACTATAACATTTAATTGACTGGAATTCAGTCATGTGACCACATATCATCACAGAGGAGGCTGAGAAATGTAGTCTAGCTATGTGTGCAAGAGTAAGAGGAGAAGAGGTTCTGGAGGACAGCTGCAAGTCTATGCCATAGAGATAAATGAGAGAGAGATAGATAGATAGATATGGAGATAGATACAGAGATAAATATAAGGATATCTAGCTGTGTTTATTTGTAGCTATGCTACATAAATTCAGCATAAACATAATTTTTGCCTCTGGCAGAATCGCAAGAAAGTTTTTGTTTGTTTGTTTTTTCAAAACTGGGGTTTGAACTCAGGACTTTCTGCTTGCTAGCCAAGTGCTCTACCACTTGAACCAAACTCCCAACTCAAGAAACTCTTAATAACAGTTAGTTATTACTTTAGACCAAAATAAAGGAGAGCAATGTTTTTATGCTTCTTTGAGCTGCTCATATATCCTAACCTTATGCACACATTATTCTTTTTCCCCCAAAAAGGATTTACTTAAGTAATAAATCTCATTTTCCTCTTTGTGTCTCTGTGTACTTAAATCATATAGATATATGTGTGTATATAGATATAATATATTGTAAATAACAACTAATAAAATAGTCTAAAAATACTCTTTCCCCAACAACTTAGTAATGTATCTCACAGTACAGTAATGTATCAGCACATAAGGATATATGAATGAGGTTATCATTATTTATAATCACAAATAATGCAAACAATTTGAATCTATTGATGGAACTCCAAAATTGTAGTGGTGCATGTGATAGAGTATAATTTCTCAAACATTTTGCTCTCAGAACCTCTCCCTCTTAAAAATTAAGAATTTTAAAGAGCTCTTATTTTTATGGGTTGAATCTATCAATATTCATTGTAGTAGAATTTAAAACAGAAATTTAAAAAGAATAACTCATTTAAAAAGAATAAAACCACCACATGTTAATATAAATAACATGTTTTATAAGAACTATATTTTTGCAAAACAAAATGCATTTAGTGAGAAGGGTGGTATTATTTTATATTTTTGCAAGTGTCTGATTTAATAATATAGAGTTAAATTCCCATACTGGCTTCAACATTCAGTCTTCTTCTCTGTGTGGTGTTGGTTGACAGCTAATAAAGAAATCCAGGCTGACACAGATATTAAGTTGGAAAAGGATTACTAAAATGATCTTCCGATAATTTTGGTATTCTTTTTTCCTTCATTTTTATTAGGATATATTCGTTGTACTGGGGAGATTTGTTGCAACAATTCTGAATAGGCTTATACTGTGCATTGGTTAGATGGCCCCTGTGGTATTCTTTTGTTTCGCAACTATACCAAAACTTGACACATAGTTATTAAAAGTTAGTTGTGCTGTGCATGGTAACACACAACCTGTAATCTCAGCATTTAGGAGACTAAGGCAGGGGATCAACCTGCCTTATCTCAACCAGCAAAACCCCTTGTTCCTTCCTATTATTGCTTATACTCTCTCTACAACAAAATTAGAAATAAGGGCAAAATAGTTTCTCCTGGGTATTGGGGGGGGAAGGGAGGGGGCGGAGTGGGTGGTAAGGGAGGGGGTGGGGGCAGGGGGGAGAAATGAACCAAGCCTTGTATGCACATATGAATAATAAAAGAAAAATGAAAAAAAAAAAGAGTGTGAAGTCAGTGTGGGTGCATACTGAGACCCTGTCTCAAAAAAAAAAGATAAATGATAGCTAAATGATGATAGATAGATAATAGATTTTAAAAAGTTAGCTGCAATGTAGAATCCAAAATCATTTTTACAAATTTTTGTAGTGCTAGATAAAAATTTTTTATACTTTGAAGCTCTTTCACCTAGACAAGATTTTAAAACAAAACTCAGAAGATATTGGTTCACTGACTTAGGCAGATCTTTTAAATGAAAAAAACCAATTCATTAATATCACTACTGATACTCATGGAAGAGGATAAAAGTTTTCCAAAATTGATTGAAAGCTTGAATTTTATCATCAGCAACAAATTGTCAGTTGTTTTCCTTGAAGTGACAGGCTCACTTCATTCATTCTCATCTGCTTTCATTTCATTTCAAATACCCAATTCTAAATAATTATAGCTTTTCGATCTTTTTTTTTAATGTTTCTTCTTAAAAGGCGGGGAAAAAAGACAGCAGCTAGTTTTAAGCTCACAAATCAATCACCCAAGTGCTTTTCCTTGAGACAACCATCATCCCTCATTCCAAATCTGTAGAAGTGCGTCATGCAGGCTTCCTGTGACATCACCAGTACCAAGTCTATTGATAAGAACTGAGATTTATGTTAACTAATTTCTATTGTTTCGTCAGGAATATTCTTTATGAAAGTAACTTTTTTTTTTTGACTGAGTGTGCCTGGTACTGAGGCAGCCTAGAAGTAGGGAAAGTTCAGTACTCGTATTGGATGGGAATCACCTGGTTCCTCCCTTCCCATGGGTTAGTGTAAGTTTTAAAACTACCTGAGGAAGTAAAGCATGCTCTCTCTGCCTCCAGATTCCATCTGTGCCCACCATGCCCCCTTTGTATTTCCCTTCCCTACCTTTTAATAAACTCCATTTACACCCACATGTCCTGCCATGGATTCTTCCCAGTGGGACACAAAGAATTTGGAAGTCTCTGATCACAGACTGCACTGACACTATTAACAGTACTACTGATACAGTTTGGCATGACTAACTCGATTCACATACCACAGAAAGGCAAAGAAAGCATTTCAGCCTATCTTCAGGGTACAGATATGTGCTTTAGGTTTAAATAGAAGAATAATTTAGGGGCAGAGGTTTTAGGTTTGCCTAATTATGAAAGAGTTCTAGTCTTGGGTGTGGTCCAGAGGTGAGATGTGTGGTCCAGTTGCTCATTATCTCAGATTGGCCTGGCCAGACCTTATTACAATAAGAAATTTGCCTGGTGGGGGTAGTTTCATCTCCTGTAACAATCCTGTCCTTTCTGGATTTCAAGGTGGCTGCAAAGTGACTGCAGGAGAGAAAGACTCAGACCAAAGGACACATACACAAAATGGAGGCAGGAATGCCAAACTTTTCTGCTGCTTTTAGTTCCCCTTTGGACACTTGCACACCCAAGGGAGAAGTCAGTGCTTTTCAGCAAAAGTGGTTTCTAAGTCCCTATTATACACCTAGCATGTGACTTGGGGCACATTGACTTAATTCCACTGAGCCTCAGTTTCCTCATCTGCAAAGTGACAATAAAGTGCTATCCTACCATAACAGGTTTACTGCAGCAAATGCATGAAGGAAATGTTTGAATGTCATGCACATCTTGACACAGTGTCTAGTATGTAGAAGATATTATTAAGAGACAGACTGGAGTTTTAAGAGCAGTACTTTAGCTGAACAGACATTCTGACCATTGCTACAACCCACCAGAGGAGCTGGCTGTCAGAATAAGACATGAAAACCTTTTTGTGATATCCTTACTTTGTCATTTTATCTGGAAGATTCCAATTGCATAATGACTTGACAACTGGGTCTTGGTTTCTCAACTTTCAGAATGAGAATAGAATGACTTTTTATTTGTGCAGTAGAGAGGCAAAATCAACAGAGCTCAGACTACAGGAAGAAGCTTTTCACTCAAACATAACTAAGTTTCTGCCATTTATGAGAACTGACTGATACTTCTGTGGCACAATTATTTTCAGGTAGAATGTTGAATTTATTAAGCAATCTGAGGTCCTTTGAGAAAAATACTTCGTGTAGATTTGTTGTCATCGGGGTAGAATCTGTGATCAGAATACTTCCAAATTCTTTGTCCCACGTGGAAGAATTCATGGCAGGACCCATGGATGTAAATGGAGTGTATTAAAAGTTAGGGGAGGGAAATACAAAGGGAGAATGGTGGGCACAGGTGGAATCTGGAGCTAGAGTGAGAGTCTCTTCTCCAGGTGAGGAGGGAGAAATGACCCAAACAATGTATGCACATGTGAATAAACAAATAATAAAAAAAAAGAAAGAAAGGAGGGTCAAAATCAAAACAAACAAGCAAACAAAACCTACGCTAACCTATGGGAAGGGCAGAACCAGGTGACTCCCATTCAATAACCAATGAGTGGGGCAGGGCATGGGTGGTTCCCGAGTCAGGTGAGGGCGGTCCTTGAGCCAGAGCATGGTCAATCTGAAATATAATACAAAGTTTCTATGAGTCCCAAACTTTCCCTCCTCTTAGCCTGCCTCAGATTGACCACAATCAGTGTTTAAATTTCCAGTGACAAGACACAGTAATTCCCAAACTAAAAGGGAATAGTTATTTCTGGATGATGAGATTACAGATGAGATTTTATTTTCTTTGTATACATACTTTCAGATTTTTCTACCACCGGCTGTTTTCTGTTTGCTTTTGAAAAGTTATTTGCAATTTTTTTAAAGGAACACAATCACAGTGAGCTTGGTTTGTGGCATTTTTATTGCAATTTTGCACAGCATTTGAAATTTTAAAGCATTAGTTAGAATTTGAAAGGAGGAGTGCATTCATCTTGGCAAAGGGAGAGAAAAATTCACTGTGGTCTTAGGCAGAACACTGTGATTAAACATATGCTATAGCCATGCCATCCATTGGGTAGTTGCTCTTGTCTTAACACAGGGTGCTCAGATCAGTCATGGAACAGCCATCAGTGCAGCACAGAGTTTGCAAATCTTGTCTTGACATCACTGAATGCTCCTTTGACTCTGAAAGCCCTTCTGTGGGCATCTGTCTATCCTGAATATGTTCCTCTCCTGAGAAATCCACATTGGGAAGGCTATGTACTATGTTTTCCTGGTAAGCCTCATGTCTGTTTGGGAGTTGAAAGTAGTTTCTTCTCTCTGCCATATGAAAGAGATAAAAATAACACTACTTTAGAGAGCCCTGACAAAGAAGGCAGCAGTCACTGTCTACTCTTGGAGAAATGAATTGAATTTCTGAAAAGGAAGTCGAATCTTGCATATAACAATTTTTAAATGTTGGTGTAGTTTCAGAGAGATTTGACCTTTTAGGAAGAGCTCCGTCATGCCCAGTCTTCATTGTACAGAGGAGGAACTTGACTGCAAAGAGGAGTGACATACCCAGTGTCACTTGCTAGCTGGAACCAAGTCAAGGCTTGACTGCTATTGGCTACTGCTGCCCATGACTGGCAGACCCAAAGGTATTAGTTACATGCTATAAGCAAAACCCAAGCCTGTGTATGCCCTGCAAAGCTTCAGTAAAGAAGGAAGTGGAGATTTAAACTTCTGTATCTGAAAATAAGAAAAGGCCACACTTTTTAGCTCAAAGTTGTTTGCAGCATCCACAGATAAGTGTTTCTCACTTTTAAATTAGCTCAAACTTATTTATGAGTGCCTTACCATACTGGCAAGCACCAAGAAAAATTAGGTGAATGAATGCTGGTTGGAAAACCAATAATTGATCAGGCAAATAACATTTAGAAAAACCCACTGAAACCTATGAAAGGTTTAATAGTATGTGTTGACTGGTATCAGAGATAGACTTGTAGACATTCATTCCACTACTCCAGATGTTTCAAAGATACTCCAAATGTATTTTTTTCTAGTGCATTTTGGTTTGCTATTCCAGAAGTCAATGTCAAGCCTGGTAAATTATGCTCAACTTTTTTTTTCTTTTTTGCAGTACTAGGGTTTGAACTTAGGGCCTCATGCTTGGTAGACAGGGGCTCTACCCCTTGAGCCACTCCACCAGCCTGCTCTCTTAAGATTGAGAACACTTACTATTTTTGTTGCAGTCTTGTCATATGAACCTCAGTATTTAAGCGATAATGACAAGTTCATGATATACCAAGACATTGGCCCTCTACAATATGAATACTGTGGATAACTGTCTTACCAAAGTCATTCTAAGCGAAATGGAAACCTTGACAACCATATATGTGGCTGTAACATTTATTATGTAATCAGTTCTTTAAACTTTCTATTTATAAAACATAGCAAATACAACCAATTACTAAAATGAAATATTAAGCCAGGCACAGAAAGACAAATGTTGCATGATCTCACTTACATGTGGAATCTAAAAAGCTGAACTCACAGGCTTAGAAAGGAAAAGGGTGGTTATAGGGGTTGGGGTAAGGATGGAGGGACTGGGGAAATATTGGTCAAAGGGTAAAAACTTTTGGCTAGATAGGAGGAATAAGATGGAGAGATTGATTGATTGTACAACATGGTCAGTGTAGTAAATAGCAATGGATTGCATTCTTGAAAATTGCTAAGAGAGCAGATTTAACCGTTCTCACCACAATAAATGCTGAGTATGTGGGTGCTGCATACATTAATTAGTTTGACCCAGTCATTCCACAATGCATGTAATATTCATACATACCTTCTATAGCCATTCATACACAACTTTTATCATTATATACCTAATAAATGTACACATTTTTTCAAATAAAAAAATAATAAAAAATAGGCTCAAATTTTATGTCACATTTTAATTTCGGACTTAGCAGAAAGAGTTCTGGTCAAACTTCTAAGTTACTTGAATTGAAAAATAAAGAAACACAATGAAGTTAACCACAACTATTACTGAAATATATTAGGTTCACTCCTACCTTTGAAATTCTGATCAGACAATTCTTACCGGTACAACTCCCACCCTGCTTCACCTGTTCCTGGTTACCCCCCAAATTCTACAGATTCTTCAGGGCTTCCTCTGTAATGCAATCACTTACTGCAAACTTCTCTTCACTTGGAATGCAGTACCAAGTAAGCCAAGACTTTAGCTCTTGAAGTCAAGTAGGCCTGGTTTGCTTCCCTCCCACACAGCTGACCAGGTAGGTGAACCTGGTAGAATAGTAAATGGTGTTTACTTCACAGGATCCTTATCATAAAACCGAAAAGATGTGGCACAAGAAAATGTCTGGCACTAAAAAAAGTACTCAGTTAAAGTCAGATTCCTTCTGTCCACCCTTTTTCTTTTCTTTTTTTTTTTTTTTTTTGGCAAGATTGGGGTTTGTCAGGGCTTCACACTTGCAAAGCAAGCATTCTACCACTGGAGCCACACTCTAGTACATTTTGCTCTGATTATTTTGGAGATTGGGTGTCATGAACTCCTTCCCCTGGCTAGCCTTGAACCGAGATCCTCCAGATCTCAGCCTCCCGAGTATTATAAGGAATACAGGCCTCCCAAAGATTACAGTCATGAGCCACCACTACCCAGCCTTCCACCCTATTTAATACCTACCTGCGTTCTAAGTTTTATATTCTATAATTATAACTATCCCTGTGTGAAACTCTTGCTAGTTCAGGGTGCCCACAGAAATCATATGCTTCTTTCTCTCCTCCATAGCTCCTGCCATTCATGCCGAGCTCACTGTGGTGTGGGGAGGGGAGTTATGCAATCAAATGATTTCAGTCAGAATGCTGAAGAACATGAAGTCCTTATTTTTTGAAAGGTAGCATGCTCACCTCTTTCCAAAGCCAAATTCCATTGATTTTGATAATTAACCCCCTAAATTGATATATAAATGGTTCAGCAATTCTTAGGAAAAAAGTCACTAAAACAACTTGAGAAAAAAAATTGTGTAAGGGCCTGGGGGCACAGCTCAAGTGGCAGAGCACTTGCTTGGCAAGCATGAGGCTCTGAGTTCAAATCCCAGTACTGCCCAAGAAATAAATAAATAAATACAAAGGAGTAAACAGTTTAAACAATAAAAGAGGCATATGGGGAAAAAAATAAGGGAGACATGTGAGCTCAGTTACCTTGTTGAACTTGAGGGAGTTCCTCCAGGTGTCTCCTCCACCTAGAGCTGGCGCAGATGTAGATAACGGTCCTTACGTACTGTAGCCCACAGAGCTTCACCGTCTCGCTGCTCCTCACTTCTGGCATGGCAAATAGCACAGAGAGTAGAAATAAAGTGGAAATGGAGCCCTTCATTTTGCTGAGGATTGAATGAGAATCTGAACAGGTGAAGACTGCCCACTCTAATTTTGAAGTTACTTTGGCCTTCTTGACCAATTTATACTAACTTTCCCAACACTTTATTGACCAATAAGGACCTCATTTTAACAATATTTACTAAGCATATAGGTTACTGTGTAGAGTTCCGGTAACGTGCTTTTATGATTATTGCAGGTTATTTGGCCACTTCTGAACCCCTTACTGGTCATCAGCTGTACTGATGAGACAATAAACAGACAATTTCTTGGGGGATATTTCCAGAAACAGCCAAGTTTTCCTGCTTTGCTACTTACTGACATAGAGCAAGTTTTTTTGGTTTTGTATTTTTTTAATTGTTGGTATAAGAATTCTTACAATGTATCAAATTTATCATATTTGAATTCACCCCTTCCACCGCTCTCCTTTATTCCCCTCCTCTCCCCCCCTCACCCCCGCCAGCGATTCCTGGAATAGTTTCAACAGGTATCATTTTTCCATTTACATGCATGTGTACACATTTTTGCACCACATTCACCCTCCTACACCCTTTCCCCGCCACCTCCCCCCTCCCACTGGAACCACCCCTCCAAACACAGGACCTCTTTGGCCCTCCTGTTCTATGATTTTGTAAAAGAAAAAAAAGTGACATTTTTGCTTGTTTGAGATGAAGGTAGCTACACAGGGATTTTCCTTATGATATTCCCATGTATATATGTACTACAACCCCAACTGGTTCATCTCCTCTATTTTTCTTCATTCAACCTTAGTCCCTTTCTTTTATGGTGGTTTCAGCCAGTTTAAGAATTTCATATTCATTCTTGTATAGAGCAAGTTTTAAATTCTTTCAAACTCAATAGCTACATCTCTAAAATGGCAAACCCCATCTGATTTTTTTTTTTTTTTTTTTTGAGTATTGAAGGCAGCCTCTACACATGGGATGTAGCTCAGTGGTAGAAAGTTTGCCTAGCATTCCCAAGGCCTTGGAAAAAAAAGAAAAAGTAATAAAAGCAGCATCTGTGTCAAAGCAACAGGAAATCACACTAACAATGAAGGTTGCCCTGACCTGGGTTGGATCCCTGGCTTTCCGCTTACCAGATCTAGAATCTTAAGCAAGTTAATATGTGTGCTTCTTCGTAAAATTTGCTGATGGTCGTAACTATCTCACAGAGCTACTCTCACCATGTATCCCATCTGACACAATCAGCCCTTGGTAACTGTTTGGCTCCCTCTTCCCTCACCATCAGAATAGACTAGGAGCAAAAACTTCTCTTCAGAATTCAGGAGTCTCTCTGACTTTATAAAAGCTTCCCTGTTCTTCACCTGTGACTTGGCTATACTTTTCTCAGTGCACACTTTTATTATAATGGGGAGCTGAACACAATTCCAAACAGCGAAGTAATGACATTTATCTTTTGTAACCCTCTAAAAGCACTATGTGTTATTAAGCAAGTCTGGGGAAGGTTACCTACCCTAGATGTCAGATACACTCTGGAAACTTTGAATCCTGCTATCGCCCTCTCTCTATCCCCTAGATTCAAAATTGTCACCTTTCCTGCCAGCTCTTATGGTCTCTTCAGGGTTCATCTTAATTTGGGATATATAGAGGAGGGGCCACAAAGACCTATGCTCAGTCCATAGCTAAATGGAAACAAGCTAACAACCTGGTCAGTTACCCACAAGAAGAAAGTACTGGTAATACTGCAAGCCCTAGATGTGCTGCCTCACACTTGGGGATTTAGTTTTCCCTGGTTGTAAACTGAAAGGGTTGGATTGCTTAAGGGCTATTTTGAACTTGAAATTCTAAGCCTTGCTATAATTATCTGATTATGCTTTCCCACATCAAAAACTTTTGGTGGCTTATCATTATCTACAGAATAAAAGACAGTCTGTCATTTAAGACTCTCCACTTGGGTCCCCAAATATCACTCCTTCCACATATTTCAAGGTCTAGCTAGAGAGGCCAATCAAAATGGAAATAAATCTCTCCCTCATTTAACCAACCAATTTACTGGAACATTTTGTTTTGAGGATGGCATGACTTTTCTTCCTCATCTAGTCTGTACCTCAGTTTATAATGTGTGGCCTTTATTTTTATCTAGACTTTCAGGCTGCTATAACAAAACACCAGAGACTGGGGAGCTTATAAACAACAGAAATTTACTTCTCCTAGTTCTGGAGGCTGGGAACTGGAAGATCAATGTGCCATCATGGTCAGATTCTGATGAGGCCCTTCATCTCGGTTGTAGACTGCTCACGTCCCTTTGTATCTTCACATGGCAGAGGGGCAAGCTGGCTTTCTGAAATCTCTTTTATAAAAGCACCAGTCTCAATCATGTGGGCCAGTGTCCCCATGATCTAATCACCTCCTAATACCATTCCTTTGGGAGTTACAATTTCAATAAATGGCCTTGGTGAGAACATAAGCATTCAGGCCATAGCAGGATGTAATTATCCTCTCTGAGTTTTAGTTTCCCCATATGTGAGGATAAAATAATGTCTTTTATAATGGTTTTGTGAAGCTGGGATGAATTAGTTCTCTAATACTTAATTGAAGTGTTTTCTTTAGGATATGAATCTTTGCAGATGGTCTTTGAAAAAACAAAAAGAAAATAGGTTGGGTAGTGACTCAAGTACAGTGCTTGCCTAGCAAGTACAAGGTACCACAAAAAAAATCCACAGTAATAATTCCTTTCTTGGAGATTAATAATGCATATTAATATAGTAAGGACTTGGAGAAGACTTACAGTTAGCAAATTAGTTCAATGTTTATCCCACATATTTGATCCTGGAAATTCTTTCCCCATGAAATTAACTAACATCTAGGATAGTTAGGAGTTTGTAGACCACGCATATTTCCGGTTTTTCTTTGGGTACAAGGTAGGATTGTATGTATTTCTCTGCTCTTTAACGATGGCCATAGACATGTGACATATTTTGGCAAATAAAACATGCCTCCCCTCTGTCTGGTGCCCAAGACGTTCCTAATGTTGGCACATGGTTGCTAAGTATGGAGTCGAGCAGCCTGTTGACCTGTACTGAAAGAATGCTTTGTCAGTTAAAGTCACTGAGATTAATGATTGTTGGTTCTAAAAACATACTCTTGATTTTCCTGACTAATATAATTATCATAGTTGTTACATGTTGCAGAGGTAGAGAACGTTTATAATGATCTAAGATTTAAGATTGGTTATTTGGCTTTAATGTTTGGAATTAACTACCACATGCTGGTAATTAATGTTGATTGAAGGTCCACATTGACATTAACCAAACGTCCAAACTAACAACCACATATCAAGGTCAGTAAGCATATCTTTCACCTATATTCTATTTGTCAAGGAATTGTGGCTACAGTATGCCTAGTAGATGGTGCCTGAGGCAGGTGGGCATGAATTCTAAGTACTGTCTGTGTCATCAGATTTGGAAAATTAGCTCTAATTCTGCCATTTAATATCTATATGACTCTGGGACATATTTAATGTCAGTTTTCTCATTTGTAAAATGGAGATAGTAACTCTGACTTCCTTGGGGTTGTCATGAGGATTAATTGATGCAGAGAGTTCTGATCAGAGTCTAGCACAAAGGGAACTTTTGATAGACTGATCATTGGTGGCAATTACAATGACCATAATTCCAGCAAATCATGCCTAGTGACTTCAGTGTTAGAGCTGGAGATTTCCTATTGATATTCCAATTTCTAGATAAGAGGCTCTGAGAAGATATTTAATCTATAATTTGTTTCTCCTATTTCTTGCATTAAAAAAATACACAGGATTAATTAAGGTAATGTCAATTATAGCACTGATAAATTATAAGCATATTGCACGTAATTGTTTAATGGTGATAATTATGAGATCGCAATATGTAAATTAGCAAACAATTTATTTTTTACTTTTATTTTCTAATATGAAGTTAGCTAATTTTTCTTTTTTTTTGTGGTTCTTGGGTATGAACTCAACTCAGGGTCTTACACTTACTAGGCAGGGGCTCTACCACTTGGACCACTCCCCTACCTCTTTCTTGTTTTTAGTTATTTCTTATGTAGGGTCTCACATTTTTGGACCTGTGCATCCTGAACTGTAATCCTCCTAATCATGGCCATCTGAAATAGCTAGGATGACAGGTGTGTGCCACCACACCTGGCTAATTGAGATGTAATCTTGCAAACTTTGTCTTCAAACCACTATTCTATTTCCTCCTCCTGAGCATCTGGAATTATAGGCATAAGCCACTGCACCCTGCCCTAATATTCATTTTTATTGCTTCTAGTTGGAACCTTCTTCATGGCACGACTATTTATGCAGCTATTATTCCCAGGAGCTACTTGTAAGTCCTCATTCTCTCTCACTCTCCATTGACTAAAGCTTTCTCTAGCCACAAACGTCCATTAAGTCACCAAGTCTCATCTGTTCTTTCTGAATTTCTCTATGATTCACCTGTTGTTCTGTAGTCCCTCTATCATGACCTCAGCTTGCATTTGGATTGCAAATGGCCTCTCAATTGACCTTGACATCAATCTATTTTCTACAGCTGCCCACGATGATCTTTTACTTTTTCTTTCTTTTTTTTTGGAGGACTTTATCTTCTTTTTTAAAAAATTTATTTTTTTTGGTTTGTCATACACTATATTAGAGGGGGGTTTGAACTCAGGGTTTCATGCTTGCTAGGCAGGTGCTCTACCACTTGAGCCACTCTTACCAGCCATTTTGTGTTGAGTATTTTTGAGACAGGGTCTCATGAACTATTTGCACAAGCTAGCTTCAAACCTAGATCCTCCTGATCGCTGTCTCCTGAGTAGCTAGGATTATAGGCATGAGCCACCAGCATCCAGCTAAACTTTCTTTTTAAATTATATATGTCTAGTATATTTTAATGGTTTTCCATTTCTTGCTTGTTTTGCTGGTACTAAGGTTTGAACTTAGGGCTTTGTGCTTGCTAGGCAGGTACTCTACCACTTGAGCCATACCACCAGCTCCTTTTGCTCTGGTTAGTTTTGAGCTATGGACTTGCTTTTTACCTTGGCTGTACCAAACTACAGTCCTCCTATTTTAGGCTTGTTGTAGCTGTGTGAGCACCACCACACTCAGCTTTTTCTATTGAGGTAGGGTCTTGTAAATTTTTTTGCCTAGGCTGGCCTGGAACCACAATCCTCCTGATTTCAATCTCAGCCTGTCACATAGTTTAGGATGACAGGCATGCACCACTGCACCCAGCTATTTGTTGAGCTGGGGGTCTTGTTAACTTTTTACTGAGCTGGCCTAGGACTGTGATCCTCCAGATTTCAGCCTCCCAAGTAGCTAGGATTACAGGAATCAGCCACTAAAGCCCAGTTCTTTTTTACATTTTTATAAGCATATATTTGTTCTATATGCTTATATTTGTTTATAAGCATATATTTGTTTCATTGTGCTGTTTCCACATATGCATTCAATGAACCAGCATCAAACCTATTCCCTCTATCACTTCCCTTCATCTGCCCTTCCCCCCTTCTTGGAATAGCCTCATTGTCCTATTTTCATACATGTGTATACAGTACTTCCACCATATTTGCCCCACTGTCTCCTTTCATCCCACCCTCTTTCTCTTGTATCCACCTCAATTAATACCTGAAATTAAACTTTCTTGCCACTCATTTTAGTGATTTTAAATGCCTGATCAGCAAGAATAAAATTGATCAATTTAATAGCAAAACAAAAACCAACCAGAATAAAATAAAATGAAAAGCAATAACAAAGAATGTAATTAAAAATGGGCAAAAGATCTAAATAAACATTTTTTTCAAAGACAACATACAATGGCCAACAGATCATATGAAAAAGTGATCAATATCACTAATCATGGGGAAATGCACATTAAAAATATAAGAAACCTCATGTGGCTATTATCAAAAAGATAAGAGATAAGTGTTGGCAAACATAAGGAGAAAAGGAATTGTGTTGTTACTGTTGTGAGAATATAAATTGGTACTGCCATTATGGAAAGCAATATAAAGCTTTCTTCAAAAATGAAAAATAGAACTACCATGTGATCTGGGAATTCCACTTATAATTATATATCCAACAGAAATGAAATGCTGCTCTTTACAGCATTATTCACAATAGTCAATATATGGAATCAATTTACATGTCCATTGATAAACCAATGTGGTGTGGTGGTGTGTATGTAAATATATATATGCACACGTTTTTACATATATATGGACATGTGTATGTTAAAATATATCTTAGAAAACAATAACTGATACTTAAAGCTTTATTTTGAATGGGCAGATGGCTATTTTTATGTTTTTGTTGTTAATTTTGAGCTTTTAGAAATAAGTACTCAACAAATAATCAAAATATGTGAGATATTTTGTAAAATTCAATAAAATTATCATCAGTGAGTTGTGACGTAAGACCTCCAAAAGCACCAATCCTGGGACCCTTTGTTCTTCCTGTGATAATGGTGCCATGTATCTCATAGTTGACCTACTTGAGGAGGATACGTATTTGATGAAGGTACATTTTTCGTGAGTTGTTCTGGATGCTATATAAAGGACTTTTCAGTTTTTTTAAAAGCAATGCTCATTTTTAAAAGATTCATAACAATGCTTTATATGTTACAACTTAGTAGACATGTACTTTCTGTTTCACCCAGAGTTAGTTTTATCACCAAATGAGTATGCCAACCTAAGGAAATGAAGGCTAATAGCATAGTAAATGTTCTATGAGTTTGAGGGTAGATTTGACCATTGAACAAAACCCTGAACAAACAGGTCACAAAGCCAAATGTTGTGTGAAAGAGCAAATGAGGTCATCAGTACAGTCTTTATTTCCTGCAGGAAGAGAGGCACAACAGCCAACTACCAAGAGCAAAGAGGTTGTCAAAAGACTTGGGGACATGGCTCTGGAATGATCAGAATGAGAACTGTCATCTTTGAGTGTCTACTGTGTACTGTCTTTTTTTAGGTGCTTTGGCGATACATTGTTCCCTTAATGGCTGGTAGAACACAATTCACCAAAAGAAGGTGATCACAGATATGTTTTTAGATTTTGCCTTGAGGAGGAAATTGATTTTATATTGCTATACAATAAAGAAAGCTATAACTCTGTTTATCAACTTTGCAGGCTAATGTTATGTTATTTATATTTTCACAGTTAAAATGTTTTATCCTCTCTGATGTTGAAAATATTTTATTAAGGTATTGAGGATTACATTTAAGATATTAAACTATACTGGGATAAGGAACAAGCATGGGCCCACTAATTTGATAATTCATTCATTCAACAATATTTGTTGCATTCTTTCTCTGTGGCAGTCCAGTGTGGTGAGCAAAACACAATCCCTACCCTCAAGGGAGGGAATACAGTCTTGGAGGGAGGCACATGCTAAGCAAATGATCTCGCAAATAAACTTTCAACATAGCAGATATAAAACTCAGTTATCCAAGAGATATAACTATATTTTCTGTAACTCAATTTAATTTCTGATTCCAAATCTCCATTCCACTCAACAGGCAGAGAAACCACAAATAAAACAAGTTAATGTGAGCCCAACTGGGTCTCGATTTCCTTCCCCATCTCTAGACATAATTGTAGCATCTTATTCATTCATCACCAAAGAGTCAGTACTTCCTCATTGCCAGGCTTCTTCAGTTCTAATGGCTCTTCACTGCTTCTACACATCACTTTTTGCATGGGGAATGGTTTTCAAAGTTGGATGCGGTCTCTCCTAGGTCATACCACTTCATGGATAATGCTTTTTAGGACATGGATCTCCTCTGACACATGGATCCACAGGCTGCATCTTTTCATTATTTCCTCACTCCTCCATTCTTGAGGAAATATCATAGTTCTTTTCATGTTTAAGATACATGGTCTATGTTCAAAATACTTTCCCTAAGTTATATGCTATTTAGAACAAAATGGATGTCTTTCGTTGTCATTTTACATTTCTCCTTAGATATGTAAAGCATAAAACCAGCAAACTGAAGGAGAAAAGTAATGAAGAAAACTAAGGAAAAAATTAATTTCTTTTAGAATTTTTTCTTCTTCTTCTTCTTCTTTTTTTTTTTTTGTGGTACTGGGGTTTGAACTCAGGCATTCTACTACCTGAGTCACACCCCCAGCTCTAAAAATAAATTTCTAAATATTGCCCCTTAGCAATAATTTCAGAAATAGTGCTATGAGAGAAATCCCTAGTGGCTTGAGAACATTTAACAAAAAGACCAAATTTAGTCTGGCAAGTTTGTGGAAAGCTTCTCAGAAAGGACTCTATGTAGGTGAGATATGAACTGAGATCTGAAGAGTGACTGAAGCATGAACACATTGAAGCAGAGTGAGGAGTTGAGAGTGGGCTGTTCCCAACATGGCAGATACAAGTGTCAAGGCCTCGTGACAGGTGAATGCTGAGAAAATCAAATAAATGGAGTTTACTACTAAGGATCCAAAAGGCAACCAACCTATCAGCAAAATAATCCTTTCTGAAATTCCCATGTAAAAAGGAAAGTAAAAAATTTGAGAGACTCATGTAAGAGTATAAGATCAGGGGATAGAAGGGTAGAGCAGAACAGGTTCAGTTGTCTGGGATCTGAAAAGAATAGCTTTATTGTTCTCTTAGGTTTTATTAACAATGTAAAAACATTGAAAAAAAATTAAGATAAAAATACATGGTAAAAAGGAATATATTTTTTTCAATTAAATAGTTTTATTTTCTTACACAAAGTGTTATAGAAAGTTCAACCTTTCAGAAAAACAAAGATAATCACAATGACTTATACCAGGAGAAAACTTATAATCCTTTATATCCTGATCTAAACTCAATCCATCTAAACACTGGTTTTATTTGAAGAATAGTTTCAAAGAAATGACGATTGTGATGTAATAGATACACTGGTAAGAGAAGTTCTCACTGCTACAGTGATTCATCTTCAGTTTATACAGGTGTCTCTCTCTCTCTCTCTCTCTCTGTGTGTGTGTGTGTGTGTGTGTACATGTGTTTTTTTCCTAGAGAGTTTAGTGAGTTCATATGCTCTGCTCTGTTCTCTCCTCTCCACTTAGAATGCTTTGCAAACAGGTCATAGTATCCCATGGTCTCAGTTAATTTGTTAAAACAAGCTGCATGGAATGGTCTGCCAGCAATATTTGGAGGAGTCACTGTCTGCATCTCAGCTGCTCTTTCCCTACCTCTCTTTAGAACTCTTCAAAAAGTAACTTCCTGATGTGCCAGTATACCAGAGACTTTTTACTTTCTTGCTGAGTCCACTTAAGTCTGGCTTAAAGTCTAGAGCAAATTCTGAGCATGCAGAGGAGGGTGACTTAATTTATTCCAGACTAATTTTCCTCACTAAATTAGGAGTGTGGTGCCTGCTGGACAAACAATGCAAGTCTGATGTTTGCTGTTATGTCCTTTGCCACATATTCTAGCGAAGACCTATAGCTCTAGCTGTCAGATCTAGGCAGGTACACTTAGTTTCAAGTTGGGTATGAGTCTTCTATTCTCATTGTACTAACAACTGCATAATTGTAAATCCTGGAAAACAGACCTTGGAAAGCAAAAGATTTAAAAGTTGATGGAATTTGCATTATAAAGATTTTGGTATAAGCAATTCTCATAATTTTAAGTCTTGTTTCTAAAAAGATAGTTTTCTAACCTATTTGGACATTTTGTAAGTACACATATAGACCCACGTGTACTTCAAATACGACCAAGAAGTACAGTAGAAATAGCTTTAGAAAATTAAGAAAATCCCAACAGAACTTTCACTTAGAACAATTCTTAGCCTAGATTACAAACTAATCACATATTACTGAAATATGTAAATTAAATTGAAAGAGATTATATATTAAATAGTATTTTTAAAGTCAAAATCCAAGCTTACAGGATGCAATACAAACCACTGAATAGTAAACATTGTCCCTTTTCTTTAAACAACAACCACACAAAGATTTTAGCTGTGATGAATTATCCTGATTGATTTGACTTGGGTCCCAGCAAAGTATTTATTATATTTTCCTGAAAAAAAAAGTCACACAATTACAGTGTAATAAAACACAATTTAAAAGGCAAGGTAGTCTTTAAAATGCCATTTAAAATTTAAAGTTAATGATACAGATGTAAAAGGCATCCAACAAGACTGCAAAAAGGGAACAAACAAAAGTAGGTTTAAACAATAACAGTTACTTCCTGGTATAAACCCGTTCTTTCCTATGAAAGTCCCTTTCAATGCAGTTTGACAATTTTATAAGGATTCAGTTGGAGGACAATTTTAGCAGCTCCTATACATCTTTAATGTTTAAAGCTGAACTTTTTCATCTGTAACATACTTGTTAAACTTAGTATCTTTAGTTCTTTCCTGGTGTTAATGCTAGATTTAGTGAGTAGAACTTCTCAATCGCCATGAGCGTTTTGTATTTCTATTTAATGATACTTACCTTTGTACTAATAAAAGGACAAAATGATCATATATAAGAAAATGAAAACCAAACATGGGAGGGGTGAGTTTTTAAGAAAGGAAGTAGAGTATATAGTAAAAAGATGGGAACTGGAAAGCATACCACCAGTTTTCTCTATGACACAGCAAATGTGATCTTGAGAAAATCTAGCATCTACATCTAAAGGTTGTTATGAGAGTTTAGCAAACTAACTTATATGAAATGTTTTGCTAACTCTCAAGGTTTATAAGCACTCTAGATGATACCACCTAAGTTGGTTCCTGTCTTTTGGTCTATACTAGACAGTCCTTGGCACTTTAACCCCTAGCACACCAAATCAGTTTCCAAATCTTGTCAGTTCTAACCTTAATATGTTTCTAAACCCATCTTTTTCTACTTCAGTCTCTTGCTTGAGCAAATGAAATAGATCACTCCTATTATTTGTTCAGTGTGGTATCCTCCCTGCCTAAGAGACCCTGTCACATAGCACTTACTCAATAAATATTTGTGCAGTGAATGAATGGTCTATTTTTCTAGCTTCAGTGTCTTTCAGCATTAATTTGTATTTATATTTTGAAAACTCCATTTTAAGCATTTCACTTTTTAAAATTTCTCCTTTAATTTGGAAAAAATATAAATACAAAAAGTGCAGAGAAAAATATAGCAAACATTTTTATTCTGAGCCATAGTAGTATCCAAGAATTTTTACACAGGCCACCTCCAGAAAAGCAGTTGCTTCCTGAAATTGGCTTCCACCAAATTCTTAAACCGTAACTATTTAAAGCAAAACTTAGACCCCCAGCAAGTAACCCCCATCATGCCAGAAGAATTGGTGCTTCCCCAATCATGAGTGCTAATGTAGTGGTAAAGCCTGTTGTCAGTTAGCAACCTTATAAAGTTATCACTACAAGCCCTGGGCCCCAGTCCTGTGTTTATGCCAAACATGTGTTACCTAACCACAAACCCTGAGCTGGAAGGTTAGGGCTGGAGCCAACTTTCTACATGTCCAATTGCAATAGTATTCTTGCTCTTGATCTCAGCTAGGAGGGGCCAGAATGACAGAAACCATGTTACTTAAAACTTCAGAGCTCAAGAATCAGTCTTTGTGCTGTGCAACACTCCAGGGAAAGATTGGCAATTCCAGACAGCAAGAGATGATCCTCGACTGCTTGATCCTTTCTCCATGGTTTTCCTCAATGAACACTTCCCCAGCACACCTGGTGTACATACTGTCTGGCAGTTTGCCTTTCTTTTTTTAATAGAACACATACCCGCCCAAATCAGTAAGTGTCATTTTTGCCTTGGATGTAGTAAAATAAATAGAACTTTATTGATAAAAAGTAAAGTTCCATTTGTATACCTCTCCAATTTTATCCCTCCCTAATCCCTCACTTCCCTGAGGCAGCCTCCATAAATTTGGTACACATCTTTCCTATAGATGAAATCATAAGCCTTCCAAACCTTTGATTCACTCTTGGTTGAAATTAATGGAGAATTACAGGTTATAATATTACTTGATAAGAAATCTTGGTAGGAAATGTTTTTCACATTAGTTACTTTGAGACTTCAAATTACTGCTAAGACTACAATTTTTTTTTCTAAAAACTAAGGAAAAGAAAGTATATGAATGAAGCATGTTTTGGTTGTAACATAATACCTCATTAACAGTTTTTTATTTACTCTCACAGAAATTTAACACTGAACCTTTCAAATACATTGACTGAAATCATGAACAAATTTGTATCCAGAAATTTTACTTATTCAGCAATGTATAGCATACATTTTTAAAAGAAAATCTTGCTCACTAGCCTTGAAATCATTAATGTGCACACACACGCACACACACACACTTGTTTGCCAAAAACAATTATACTCTCTAAACTTAAATTTCTACTTGCAGAGTATGGTGCTCAAATTAAAAGATGGTTCTAATCAGTTCAAATCCAAACACAAAATGAAGCACTTTGTCCCATAATCCAGTCTATATTTGATACTTTTACCTATAAGTGTAAAAAAGAATACTGTGTTTATTTTTTGTTAAATATTAACAAATTTTAGTATATTGTACTTCCTTCTTGAAATTTTCTAACTCAACACTGTTTTCTATTTTATTCAAAATGCATCATAGTAGCACATTAAGATATATATCATTAAATTTTCTGTATTATGAGGGTTGGAGGTGTGGCTTATGGCTCAGGTGGTAGTGTGCCTGCCTGGCATGAGGCCCCGAGTTCAAACCGCATTACCACTGTAATGGTAATTACAAGCTGAGATATGGGATACTGAGGCAGATTAGCAGGAAGCAACTTTTATTGTGTTGGCACAGACCCAGCAGACTCGTGTCCAAAGGCTGAGGCCCGAGAACAAAGAGGCCTCACCTTATATAATCTTGCAAGCAGGTTGCAGAAGCAAAGAGCAAAGCTCAACCCACTTGTGGCTGCATGTGACTTCATTGGCTATTTTATTTCCCCAGTGCTATGTGACCTTCATCATTTCAATTCTTCAAATTTTATCTCTCTGCTTTGCCATCCTCTCCCCCTGCCTCATCAGAACACAGCCTGTCTGTTTCTTTTCTGGCCCTTCTCCCTGCTACACCACCACCAAAAAAAAAAAAAAAAAAAAAAAAAGAGTATGAAATTTTCTCTAATGTAGTGACACGTGTGAAAATGCCAGACTTTATTTGTCCAGTTTTCCACTGATGCTCATTTAAGATTACTTCCAATTTATCAGTACAAGAACAAGGTTGCTATAAACATTATTCACTGGTTTCTCACTAGCAAGTCTTGAACACCTCTACCAATTAATTAAACAAAGCCCTGAGAGACACATAGAATCTAGTCAGATGTCAGTTAAATATCTATGAAAGTTGTAGTTCTACCAGCTAGGAAAACTGTAATAATTTAAAATTTAATGGCACAATAAATAAATGAATTGAAGTCAATCAACATGGGCATGCCTTATGCTTCTGGAGAAGATGAGCTTAGATAACAGAAAACAGGTCTTAGCGGACATGCACTATGAGAACATTGCATTTGGAGAACATAGCTAAGTCAACTTTAAAGCAGGGCCCTGCCTGGCAACCAAGGCAGGAAAATCCTTTCAAATATCCAGTTTTAAATCTCATTCCCTACATTCTCTACTGGATATCATCTCAGCCAGCTGAAGAAGTCTCCAAAAGTACTTATAATGTTTTTCTTTTCTACCTGGAGAAAAATAAACATTATTCTTCCTTTAGTAAGAATAATCTTACTAAAAAAGCATTGGAACATTTAAGAAATTTGAGATTCAAAAAAATTAATATGAATTCCTCACACATATGAGACTTATTTATTTATAAAACAATGGAAGTACTTAAAATCCAGTATATTCAATATGTAAATGGAATTCAAAATTTAATTGTTAGAAAGGGTACTTAAAATTACTATCAAAATCTGTTAGTCTTACAAGCAGAATAACAAAAATGTATGCCCTAAATGTAAGAACAAAAAGTCTACTGTTTTCCATGTTGAAAATATCATTTGAATATGAACTTTTAAGCCAAAGTATACTAAGAAATCTTCTCTATGTATAGAGGTCACCTCAAGGAACATTTTTAAAAAAGGAATAAAGAAAAAAATTACTTTACATTGATGTCCATGTCTCTTAGTAAACATGTGCAGCATTCTCCATGTTATCACTGGCTTATATGGTATTTAGCTTTTGTTTTATTGACATGCTCTCCAAAAAGGTTACTATAATTTATATTCCCATGACCCTGTGTACGAGTTTCTAATTCCCTATAACACTGCTACTACTTGCTATTGGCTAACTAATCAATTCAATCAATTTGAGCTGGTACCTTATACAATTTCAGCTACGTAATTCCTTATTACTAGTGGAAATGAATGTTGTTTCATAAGTTTTTTGATAATGTAGTTTCCTCTTCTGTGAATTACTATTTTATATATCTGTCTATTTAAACAAATAAGTTGATTTTTTCCTGTAGAACAAAGATCAAATATCTCATCATGGCAGTCATACTTTTTTGTGCTTTCAAATGACCAGCATGGCCCCTTTGCCACCTTTCTTTCAGTCTATTTACTACCATTTCCTTAAAATGCCATGGAACTTTACAATTCTGTATCTTTGCTCACACTTTCCCTTACTCTGTAATAACACTGTATATGTGATGAAAGCAAAAGAACCAACATGAATTTCTCTTTACCGCTACACCCAGCTCACACTAACAAACATTAAAAAAATAAAACACTCCAACAACCCAACACCATCTCTTTTCTACTCTAAGTTCAGACTTTGTGGACAAGTTCTTAGAGCTCTTGTAGACTAGAACTAAAATAATCACAGAGATTAAAAGAGGGATGAATTTAATCCTTGAGGCTCCATTAAGGATTTGAGGGATACAAACAGAAAAAAAGGATTACTATGAACTAGATTGACTCCACTTAAGTGTTTTTCAAGAACTTGAATAAAGAATAGAATTCTCTAAGGGAATATACAGAGGAGTAAAAAAGAGTAGTAGAGACGGTAAATATGGTCCAAGTATATTATATATATGTATGGAAATATTGCAACGAAGCCCTTTACCTTGTATAATTAATACATGATAATAATAAAGATCAGAATTCTTTTTTAATTTATTTTGGCCATTGAGTTGTGCATCTTAGACAAGTTTCAATGTAAGCACAAACATCCTTATACCTACTTAAATGTCTTATCATCAATGAGCATGAGAAATTAAAAATATAAAAAATGTTTATATCATGAAAATAATAAGCCATTATTACGTTCCTCAGAGTGAACTAAACTTATTATATAAGGAGAGTGATGCATTTTGGGAAAAAAATGTATAAAGAATTTGGAAAACAGATAAGTAAAAAGAAAAACTAAAATTCATCCATGATTCCACCCCTGAGAAGTGATTCTTGTAATATGTTTTAATAATAATAATAATAAGCATCTAATGATACTGAGTTAGTTGTCAAAGTTTAGCAACAAAACTTTCACATTTGAAGATCAGAGTAAGAGAACAAAATAAGCTAAACCAACTGAAGCAAATGTCTACTTCAGAAACATTGGACAATATCCAAAAATAAAGTTACTTCAAGTTAAAATGGTTGACTTTGTGCAATAAATTTCACACTTAACAATTACTAAGTCCCAACTACATAGCAGGCATGATTTTAAGTTCTTCCATATGTTGTATTTCTTATGCTCAGCAATGTTATTCTCATCGTTTATCTTTTACAGATAAAGTGAGGCTGACAGAAAATAAGCCTATTAGGCACCATACCTAGTGACTAGCAACTCTTGGAACTTAAGTTCTTCCCATTACACCACCCTTAAAATACTAAGAAATATACATCCATTGCATACTACAAAATCCCAACTGGATATACCCATAAAATGACTGAAATTTTAACTTTTCTTTTCAGTACTAGGGTTTGAACTGAGGGCCTCACATTTGCAAGGCAGGCACTCTCCACCACTTGAGCTGGACCCCTAGTCTAGATTTTTACTTATAAGTCTTACCCGGATGGAATCTGAACCAGTAGGCATATTTTTCAGTTCATATACAATGACCTGTCCATCACTGTCTCCCACTAGAAGGCAATCTGTTTGTTTGGCGAAGAGAACAGTTGTGAACTTGATTCCAGGGTTAGCAATATGCACAATCAAAGGGTCCAAACTGTAATGAAACATTTTATTTACAAATTCAGGCATTATATTAAAATGATACTTTTAAAGATGAAGACTAGGAAAAGTTTGAGGTTTTTTCTATTTCATGTAACAGAACCCAAAAGCCTCTTAAAGTGATTCCAAACTCAAAATAACTGCTTCTTAATCCTTAATCAAAAACTGCATTTCTTCAATGAGCCAATATCAACCAGGTAAATTAAAGTAATTGCCAATTTGGATGTGAACTCATAAATTTAAACTTTTGAGATAGTTAATTTTGTGTGTCAATCTGGGTAAACTATTGTACCTAGTTTTCTGGTCAGACACTAATCTACACATTCCTGTGAGGTTTTTTGTTTTTAAAGATGTGACTAACATTTAAATTAGTGAATGTGAATAAAGCTAATAGCTCCCTTCCATAATGTGTATAGGTTTCATCCAATCAGTAAATAAAAAAGACTATGAATCCTCTGAAGTGGAATAAAATTCTGCCTGTAAAATGCCTTTGGAAGCTAGGCTCAGTGTCTCATGCCTGTAATCCTAGACACTTGGGAGGCAGAGATTGGGAAGTTCTCCATTTGAGGCCAGCCTCTGCAAAAGGTTCATGAGACCCCCATCTCAACCAATAAAATCTGGATGTGGTGGTGCACAACTGTCATGCCAACTATGCTCGAGGATCGGGTCTAAGTCAGCCTGTGCATAAAGGGTAAGACCCTATTTAAAAAATTAACAAAAGCAAAAGAGGACTGGAGGCATGGCTTAAGTGGAAAAGTGCCTAGCAAGTACAAGGTCCTGAGTTCAAACCCCATATCACCAAAATGCCTTTGGTTTTAACACTGCAACATGACTCTTGAAATTCCAACCTACCAACCTGTCCTGTAGACTACAGACTGATAGGACCCACAATTGTGTTAGCCAGTTCCTTGAAGCAAATCTCTCTCAATATAGAGACAGAGACAAAGAATGAAATAGAGACAGAAATAGAGATACATTCATCTCACTCGTTCTGTTTCTCTGGAGAACCCCTACTACCACTTCTTAAATTATAATTTTTTGTGGGGGTTGTCTGTTTTGTTTTTTATTGTTTTGTTTTGCTGTGGTAGGGATCAAACCTAGGTCCTTCTGTATGCTAAACATGCACTCTACCATTGAATTACACCCCCAGCCCATGACAATTGTCTTTTAACAGAGACTGTTTTGATCCACATGAACCTTTGAAACATAAAAGGACATTTTGAACAGGAACTCTTCCTAGTCTTAATCATCCAAAATGCTTGTAGCATCTTTAATACTTCTAAAGAAATATTATCCTGGAAACTACAGTTTTACCAAAAAATTAAAATCAGAAGTCAGATTATTTAAATAGCCACTTTGTATATTAGTCTCTCCTACTCAAAAGTAAATTGTTTATAAAAATCCTTGATTTTTCTCTGATATTAAAAAATAAGCTATGATAAAAATTTACTAACTTCTAGAAAAAATTGTACCATTAAGAATAGACCCACTGAATTTTACATCTTTTATTTTAAACGAAAATGTACTTTTCTGCTCCTTCTGTTAATAGCTAGCATAAAGATTTATGACACTTTCCAATGGAAACAGAATCTTTAAGTACTTTAGCCCAGCATTGTAAAACTTGTCATATTAAAGAAGAACAGATGAATCTAGATGACCATTTAATAACTTTGTTGTAATATCTTAAGTCAAAAATGTTAAGAGCTAGCCGCTTGAATATGGTTTGAAATGAGGTGACAGAATAAATAGATATTGCAAAAATAAATATTTTTGTCTTCTTTATCTTATTGTAGAGAATCTTTAGTTAGAAATCTAATCATGCCTCCCTGTATAACTCTATAAACCAGGGAATGAAAAAGAATTTGAAGTAGGTGTGATAGCCTACATCAACCAGTAAAAGCTTGAAGGGACACATTAGGTAAACTATTTTCATTCACCAACATGATACAAGTAATTAATGCTAATATAGCATCATGGCATATATCTTTATTCATAAGGGACTGTCATAGAGTAAACCATTACTTGTTTTAAAGTAACCTTCAGCACTCTCTAACAGATGTCAAAACTACCAGATATCGTTTAGTTTGAACGGCTTCTGCTAAAATGCCTGGAAGAAAACATTAACACTTACGTGCTGATGTTAAGGTCCCAAATCTCCACTCTGCTCTCATTTGCAGCCGCAAATATATAGGACGATTTTGGAGACCAGGCAACATCATAAACAACATAAGTAGTTGGGTAAAAACTCAAAAATGGCTGGAGATTCTCCTGTTGCCATATCATAACACCCCAATCTGCAGAACAGCTTAAGAATACATCATGACAAAATGGATTCCATGTTACTTTATACACTGGGCCCTAGAAATAGAGAAATAAAACACATAAACATATAATATTTAACTTCTTATATTTTAAACTTGACCAGCAAATTAAAAATACTAAAATTTCAAGATTTATATGCCACTCATTATTGCATGGCTATTATTTTATCTGAGAATAAGATCATAAATTGAACCTTCCCTTAATTATTTTATATAGAAACATACACAAAATGTACTTGCTCTGTATATAATAGTGACTAAATATTAATGCATATTATTCATTCTTAAAAGACAACAAATAGTACAAAGGAAAACAAAGAACTGTGGGAGAAAATAAAGGAAACATGCATGGGATAATCACAAAGAGATGCAGAGAATAGATACTGCAAGACACAGTTTTACTTTCAGACCAGCATCAGCACTTAATTCAAGCTGCCATTAGCTCTGAAGGTGTAAATGTATCGCATGTTAAACACACTGTAAAGAATACCACTTTCAAATATACTATAAAATACGCTCTCCATACCTACTGTAATTATACTAACCTTATGTCCTCTGTAGGTATCTAGGTATTGTTCGTTATATGAACAAGAACATTTGTGAATATGACCTTCTTCAGTCCCGGCCAAGTAGATATTTGTATCCTACGCAAGAAATAAAAATGGTTGACTTGTGATACATTAGTAATTGGGCTAGATAGAAGACTAGATGATTCAGTATCTATTAGTATCAATTCAAGAGCCAAAACAAGAATGAAAATGTAGTTGTCTTTCTTTTTCTTCCTGTTATGATTTTACAGTGATGAAACTACCTGAAAGAACACTGTGCAAAAGATACATATTTTTCCTTTTCTGGAATAGATGACAATGCTTAATATCTTGTCTAAAAATTACCTGGAGAAACTTTGGCTTAAACAAGAAAGAGAATTTCTAACATTTTTAGTTGTCTGACAATGGAATTAACAGCCAAAGGACACAGTAAGTGCTCTTTTGCTAGAACTAGTCAAACAAAAGACAGACAAGTTAGTGGTAAATGTTTATGTATATAATGCTGAAGAAATTGTTATTGCTGGAATGAGAAGCTGAACCAGATGGCATGCAGAGACCTTTAACACTATGTGTATGTACCAAATAAGGATTTAAAATAACTTTTGCATGGTGGCTCATAGTGAAAAGTCTGAAAGTCAGTGCTAAGTCCTGGTTACTTGATGTGGCCACAGACCAGCAGCAGCGACATTACCTGGCAGCATTTTGGAGCTGTGAACCATGGTCAAGCTCTACCCCAGACCAACTCATCAGAACCAGCATCTTAAAAAGATTCCCAAGCAATCTGTATGCACAGTAAACTTTGAGACAAGTTGCTCCAGTGTATACGAGTATTCAAAATGTAACTGTTAGGTCATGCAGTTTTAAATTACTTAACAAGTTACAATTTTTCCCAGTGGTTTTACAATTTACTGTCAGTGTATAAAAGTTCCCTTTGAGCCATATTCATTCTCTCTCTCTCTCTCTCTCTCTCTCTCTCCCTTTCCCTCCCTTCTCCCTCTCCCTCTCCCTTTCTTCTCCCTTTCCCTCTCTTTCCCTCTCTCTCTTCAGTATGTAGCCCAGCCTGGCCTTGAACTCACAATCCTGCTTTCCAAGTGCTGGGATTATAAGCATGTGAAACAACTCCTGGCCTTGGGCCAATATTCTCTTTAACAGTTGGTCACATCAGAAATCTTATATGTTGCCATTCTACTAGATATAAAATTATACATGGTTTAAACTCTCATTGTGTGAATACTAATAAGGTTAAAAGCTTTTTAAATGTTTATTGGCCATTTATGTCCTCTTCTGTTTATGTCTCTTGACCATTGTATTTAGTAAGTTATCTTTTTCATATTCACTTGAAAGACTTTTAAATGTTCTAGGTTCTATTGCTCTGTTACATATTTGTGTGCTGCAAATACCTTCTCATGGTGGCTTTTCTCTTTACTTTCTTTATACTGTCTTTCAAAAATAAAGGACTGCATTTTATTTCATAGGTTAGCATTTTTGTGCTTTTAAGAAATCTTTCCATACCTTGAGGCCACAGAGATATTTTCCTACTTTTTTTCTAAAGGTTATGATGTGGTAGAGATCAAATTCCATTTGAAAAAACATTGTGACCACCTTTCTTAAAGGATCATGAAGGTCATTGTCAAAAGGCTAACAGCCAGGCATGGTGGCAGATGCCTATAATCCCAACACTTAGAAGTCTGAGGCAGGAGAATTGAGAGTTTGAAGCCAGCCTGGGTTATTTAGTCAGATCCTGTTTCAAAAGGCAAAACTTAACTAAGGAGCTAAAAGACCTCTATAATGAAAACTATAAAACACTGAAGAAAGAAACTGAAGAAGACACCAGAAGATAGAATGAACTCCCATATTCATGGATCAACAGAATTAATATTGCGAAAATGTCTACACTACTGAAAGCAATCTATAGACTCAATGCAATCTCCATAAAAATTCCAATGACATACTTTACAGAAATAGAAAAATCAATCCTAAAATCCATATGGAAGCACAAAAGACCGCGAATTGCCAAAGGTATCCTAAGCAAAGAAAGCAATGTTACAGAAATCCTAATGCCTGATTTCAAATTGCACAACAGAGCCATAGTAATAAAATCAGCATGGTGCTGGTAGAAAAACAGTCACATAGACCAATGGAATAGAAGACCCAGAAATAAGCTCACAGAGCTACAGCCAGGTGATTTTCAACAAAGGTGCCAAAAACATACATCAGAAAAAAGACCGCCTCTTCAACAAATGGTGTTGGGAAAAATGGATATCCATAGGTAGAAGACTGAAACTAGACTCCTATTTTCACCCTCTAAAAAAAAATCAATCCAAAATGAATCAAAGACCTCAATGTAAGACCCGGAACTTTGAAACTGCTACAAGAAAACACTTGGAGATATAAGCATAGGCAACAACTTTCTGAATAGGATTCTAGTGTTGCAGGAATCTCAAGCTGAGATACCGGACACTGAGGCAGATTAGCAGGAAGCAACATTTATTGTGCCAGCACAGACTCAGCGGACTCGTGTCCAAAGGCTGAGCCCCAAGAACAAAGGGTCTCACCTTATAATACCCTCGCAAGCAGGTTACAGAAGCAAAAAGCAAAGCTATTTCATTTCCCCAGTGCTATGTGACCGTCTTCATGGTTTAATTCTTTAAGTTTTCTCTCTCTGCTGTGCCACCCCTTCCCCCTGCTACATTATCAGAACACAAACTTGTCTGTTTCTTTTCTGGTCCTTCTCCCTGCTACATTATTCTCCCCTTTGATGTTCAGACCCACCTAAGGTAAAAGAACATCATCTTGATTTAAGGGTTTGTATTTTTATAGCATTATTAAGTGGGTGGCTGTTTTTTGGGGTGTTTTTTTTTCTATAGTGGCCTCTATAATGGTCCTGATGGACCACAATACCAAGGGAACCAGGCAGGGTAACATCAAACACGCTCTCAAGAGTAGACCCATCGCCCCGCTTTCCATGACAAATGTAGCCGCATTGTTTTCTTTACTCTGGAACTTTTAGTATCACTTACCCGCAACCTGGCAAACCTGGGGAATATATGAGCCAATGTAACACCCAACCTGTTAGTGGGTGCATGACACAAAGTATGGCTGTGCGGAGGTCCCAGCAACGGCTCTTATGACATTCAGCACATGGGGGAAACCTTGCAAGGGCCAACCCAAAAGGTAAGAGTCCAAGTGTGTAGAGGAGAGCAGGGTGCATCCCGTGCTCAAGCTTCCTCTGCGTGTAGACTAGTCAGTTTTTGGAGTGACTAGAACAGGGCTGTTGTCCCATTGTAGTGGGGATAAACAAGATAACAACAACAAGAGGGCCCCTCCAGTGGGGTTTTAATGGTTGGACATTTTATTATTTTATCCAGACAGTATCTTTTGATTTTTTTTAACGGAGTAGAATTACCATAGGAACAATATATCATCAGTATATATGTCTAAGAAAATGCATTGTTTTAAAAAAGTTAAAACAACCATCTTTAAATATCAAAGGACATGTTTAGAGCCAGTAAAAACAGCCACTTTGTTTCTATTTAGAAGACCCTGTCTAAAATATAGAGTTTGTGTCTGGAAGGGCTTTAATGTCAGATAGCCGTACATATATAAGAACCATTTCCTCAAACCTCTCAGCCTTAGTTATTTTTGAGAGGTCTGTCACGAGTGACTCCATTTGAACTTTTTTGTAATCCTATGGGGGAGCTTGTTTTTATCCTTTTTTTTAAAAGTATTTTTTAACCTTTTTTTTAAAAAAAAATCATATCCTTAATACCTTATATATGTTTTTTGTTACTCTTTGAAAATAACTCATAAATCCTTTCAACCTAGAGCCTTATATTTGTATGAAAAAAAACAGAAAGAAAGCAACCTTAAAATTATATTTTGTACAAAAATAATTTATAGAAAGCCCATTGCCCATTTGTTTGTTGATAGACCCATGTATTATAAGAGAGAATTAAACCCCAGACTTTACTTACAACAAAATGAAATAGGCTTAAGGTCATTTTTTTAATTACCCAAATTTTAAGATTCCTGCTGTAGGCTGTGCCCCGCCCCCCTTTTTTTCCCTCTGGTCTGAGCCAGAGTGTTAACCCCTGAATGCCTGTATCCTAGTGAGTCCTGACTAAAAGAAGTTTGAAAACCGGTTTTCTTAAAAGTAGTAGTAAAACATAGTAACAATTTTTTACATTGACTCTGTAATAAGAACCATCCTCAAGATGTTTACATATTCATATGTAAAAAGCTTAAGCAGTTTATAACAGGTGTTAAAATAAACACACTGGTTTTTGTTACCTTGACTATCACATTAACCTTATAACAGCAGTTTAAGAACTATTTTGAAGATGCTTACACATACACACATACATACACACACAAGTTTTATCAATTAAGCATGGCAGAAAAAAATTTCAACTGAAGTGTGTATAAGATGAGCTGGAATTCCAGGGACAAAATAAATTTTCCCCAATGTTGTACGCAAATTGACACACACAAAATTAGAGTGTACTCAGAAAAACCTTTCTAACCATAATCAGAGGGCTATCTGGTGGAAGGTGGATGACGTATCTTCTCTTGTGAGTTTCCTTCTTTGGAACTGAATTTTTGTTATCCATCCCTTAACTTTGGTTGTGGCTATTTTCAGAAAAGATCTCAACCCCACCACCACCACAGTACTGGAGGTTTCTTACATTTAACCCAAAGTGCTTTCTTTTTACTTGCATTGTTTCTCATCATTGTTACATTGCAACAGTCTTTCCTGTTGGTGAGAAAACCCAGTAGGTGCTCAACCTCCCTAATTCCCAGAGGTGTCTCACACACATTCACCCTGCTCCCTAAATCCAAGAGACCTGGTTTCACTCCAGACAGGGTTACTTGGGGGGTCTCTGAGAGATGATCAGTCTCCCCTTATGCCTCCTAAAGGCAGACCTATTAATTGAACCCAGGGCCTTACCAGTCTGAAGAGTGGTACTCCCCTCCCCTCACTGGTCTCTGTGCCTTACTGGGTTCCACTGTGCATCCAAAGCCTTCGACTCAACTCTCTGGAAGAATGAGTCCCTCCTCCTGATCAAACTGTCTGTTGGCGCCTGGAGGGATCACTT